ATCGTGCAATTTTCAACAAAAGCAACTTTTAATTATTCAGCAATTTTCTTCGTTAACCGTTCCTCATTAGCGAATGGCTACTAAAGGGCGCTCTCCATCCCCTCCCCTCCCTCTCTCCTTCCCTCTCTCTCTCTTTATCTCTCTCACTCATTAAAGATACATTCCATCGGGAACTTTTCAAACTAATTCACTTTAATTTCGCGCAAGGTTCATCGTCCCGTTATATTAAACTCTCGAGCTACGAAATGGCAGATGATTGGCAGAATTGTTTGTGGATATATATATATCGATGCGAGACGAGATTTTCGGCATTTCCTTTGTTTTGGAAAAGAATTTTCAAATAAATGGATATCTTTGGATTTCACTTTTTCTTTTATTATTGGAAAAAAAATTGACTATGATATTTTGCGTTGTTATTAAGACTAATTATTTATTCTAGAATTTTAATTTTTAGAAAGAAAAAAACAATTAGTTATTTTATCGACAAAAATATGAAAATTCCAAGGGAAAAGCGGAGAATAAAAATAAAATTAAAATTAAAATTCTTTGCAGATATTTGGTAAATATTTGGTAAATATTATCACGAAGGTAGTTTTCTTTGTTTGTCGTCGTGATAAGAGAGTAAAAGAACGCGTTTTCCCACGAAAATAAAAGCTCGATGAGTTGATCATATTTTCATTTATCACCATCTCCATCTGTGGCGAATAAGGGTATCTTGATCAGGATTGTCCAATTTGGTAGAACGCGTATTTCCGCAATTTGTGTCACTCGTGAATTTTTTTCCCTTCCTTTCCTGACATCTGACTCTTCCCATGCTTATAAATTACATTGTATACGATGTCGATGAATTATTTAATTATTTAATTAATTGTGTTATACTTTCGTCGAATTTAAATTAACGCTTGATCAATAATGAAGAATGATTATTTATAAAAATTTTGATAAAATTTGAAATTTGAAAATAGAACTCTTTGTTAAATTTACGATCTCAATTCAATGTTCTTAACTTTTAATACTCAATTGGGATAAGAAAAAAAATGATACAAAACATTGTTCAATTATTTCTTTATAATCGTTTTATTTGTTCCTCGCGTGGTTATTTATCATTTTGACATAAATTTTGTACATGATGCACGCAAAAAATAGATTAATAGATTAATTTAATTCGTAATCACGTGAATCGTGAAGGATATATTTAAAAAAAAAAAAAAAAAGAAAAAATTATAAATTGATAATTTCACGATCCATTTCCATAATGCACCGATTTTATCGAAAGATAAATTCGATTTAAGCAATAACGTCATAATGTGTTTTATGCTTTTAATTTTATACTTGTTTTTTTTTTTTTTCCTGTCTCGTAGAAAAATTTCCAAACCGATAATATATTTTTATTCGATTATATTTTCGTGTCTGAGTTCGATTGAATTTTCAAATTCATAGAAAATATTCATCTTGTTATTACGAATTTCGATACTGCACGAAGAAAGACCATATGTTTATAATGAATTTAACGGGAAAAGTAGAACATTGAATTGGGATCGTAAATTTAACAAAGAATTCCATTTTCAAATTTCAAATTTTATCAAAATTTTTATAAATAACTGGACAATCGGTGCGTTGTTAAGTTATTTCTTTCTTTGCCCGTCCGTGTTTGTGGCAAAATCGATTTCGATTCAAATTGTTGTTGTTTTAAACTTGATGACACGTTTCAAAGAAAAATATAACAATGGAATTAAACAAGGGAACGAAAAAACAACAAGTTATTTTATTTTTCTTTTTTTTTTTTTTCCCGCTTCCGCAATGCAGCAGGATCAATTTCTTCTCAAATAACAATTACTTCGTCACCCTAACAATTTTCGATATCGATTTCAAAAAATATAACGACGAATTAAATCTTTTTCCTTTTTTCCTTTTCCGCGAAACAATCGAACAACCAATTGAAATAAAAAATAATAATAATAATAATAAATTAAATTGAATCTACCAATCGATTTCTTTACTCTTCGTCTCAAAATTTAAATTTAAATCATCCGAATATAATAATTCGAACAGCTTGTTCGAGGTCGACGAATTGAGAAAAAAGATTGATCGAAATTTAAAAAAAAGGAAAAGAACATAATTATCATTTATCGTCTCATTGGCCCATGTGTGATATACGCGAATTACACGATACATCGATCGAGAAAAGGAACGGAAGAAAGGGAGGCGGGGGGCAACGTCACAGCGGAAGCTGGTGGTGGTCAAGAGTGAACGCTTTCGAAGAATCGATATCCGCTAATAGAATTGTGCGCGTATCACGAATCGAACGAAATACGACAGCGGCAGGTTTGCCGGCAATTAGTAATGACGTGTCGTTCGATATATGTACATTGTGTGTTTCACGGTTTGTCGCCTGAAAACGATTTAGCCAATTTCACGTTTTATCGATTTTCCTTGTAGATACATTTAACTTTATGTTATTCCTCGATGAAAGGTGAATAATCCGGATAAACATCCTTCGAATTAACAATTTTTTAAACCAGTTACAATAAACACGAACAATTTAATCCTTTGATTAAAAATTCTTCGTTCGTTGTTTACGATTGATTCGATCAATTTTTCCTTTCCTTACGATCCAACATCCTTCAAACAACAAATATAAAATATATATACAATACAAGAATTTTTTATTTTTAACAAGTTAATCCTTTCTCTAGTTGTCTCCAATCTCATAAGGATCATCAATTACAACTCTTACAACAAGGATCAACCCCCTATCCTCCAAATCATAGGCCTTCCCACGGTTCGTAAAACCACCCTCTCCGACCGTTTCACGCCGCCCTCTCCCGTTCCAATCGGGATTCTCTCGATGAC